TATTATTATTATTTATTATTATTATTATTATTATTATTATTATTTATTATTATTATTATTATTATTATTATTATTATTATTATTATTATTATTATTATTATTATTATTATTATTATTATTATTATTATTATTATTATTATTATTATTATTATTATTATTATTATTATTATTATTATTATTATTATTATTATTATTATTATTATTATTATTATTATTATTATTATTATTATTATTATTATTATTATTATTATTATTATTATTATTATTATTATTATTATTATTATTATTATTATTATTATTATTATTATTATTATTATTATTATTATTATTATTATTATTATTATTATTATTATTATTATTATTATTATTATTATTATTATTATTATTATTATTATTATTATTATTATTATTCTTATTATTATTATTATTATTATTATTATTATTATTATTATTATTATTATTATTATTATTATTATTATTATTATTATTATTATTATTATTATTATTATTATTATTATTATTATTATTATTATTATTATTATTATTATTATTATTATTATTATTATTATTATTATTATTATTATTATTATTATTATTATTATTATTATTATTATTATTATTATTATTATTATTATTATTATTATTATTATTATTATTATTATTATTATTATTATTATTATTATTATTATTATTATTATTATTATTATTATTATTATTATTATTATTATTATTATTATTATTATTATTATTATTTTCACTAAGACTATTATGTGGTTTTTGAACATTTTTATGATGCCAGGTTTGCTATATTGAATTACTTCAAATGTCTTTATTTTTTTCTCACATATTCTATTATTTATAAGTTCAATTGATTTATATTATGTGCATTCTACTTGATATACTATTTGGTAATCAGTTTAAGGGGTTGTTTACTTTTTCTATTAAGTCATGTCTGGATTAATACGTCTGTCTGGATTAATGGTATTTTTATATGAACCTGTTTACTTTCTGTCCTCACTAGACGATTTAAATTGAGTAAAATAATCAAGAGACATTATCCGAAATAGGACTAAAAAAGTTTGAAAATTCCAAAATAGGACTTCCATGTTTTTAATTCCCAAAATAGGGATAATTACTGCCATGTTTTGGCAGTACCAAGCTTCAAACATGACAGTATTTTCAAAACTTGGCAGTAATTACTCCTATTTTCGGAATAAAAACATGACAGTCCTACTTTGGAATTTTCAAACTTTTTTTTGTCCTATTTCGGGAACTTTCCCAATAATCAATTTAGTATTATTCTTGACTTCTAAAGCCAATAAGAAATTTCATTTATTAACATAAATCTATTCCATAATTGATTTAAAAAGATTAACAGAAAAGACGTCTTAATTGAAAGGGGTACTATATTCCAGATTAATGATTAAGTCATTTTTTTATTGAATGATTAAGTCGCACTTTCAATTAAGTCGTAAGTAAAGATGACTTAATGGTTGAACGATTAAGACATTAAGTCACTGTTCTCGTTAAGTCCATTATTAAGTCGAAAGTAAACATCCCCTTAGTATGCCTTTTGATTGTTAGTCCAATTTATTTATTTTTAAATTAGAAGTTTAGAACAATTTGGGCAATCAATATCACTTATCCGTTCCAATAACATGGATTATCTCATGTTAGAACTTTTTGTAATTAACAGTCTATCTTGTGTTCAACTTAAGGCTTAACGGATTGCAAGCAATTTTGTGCAGACATTGTTCCTTAAAGAAATATATGTGATTTTAATTGGCATCTAATATGAAAAAAGATCATTTGAGACATTCCAAAAAAAAGGTTCGCAAAGTTATAAGGGACAAAAAGAGTTTGAGTTTTGACGGTGTTATCTTCCCACCTGAGCAAAGAAAGGTCGGTGTGTGTTGAATATATGTTACACTAAAAGCAATGTGCTGCTTTCTCTCCTATGGAAATACAAAAAAGTTGTTTGTATCCACCCTTATACCCACTTTTGTACCCACCATGTTTGTGCAAAGTTTTATTTTTGTCTATGATTCCCGATCACAGACAAAATATGTCTGTGCAAATTATTTTGTCTGCGGATCGGATTCACAAAAAAAAACCTTCACAGACACGGAGGATATAAGGTGGGTATAAGAGTGTGTACAACAAGAATGATTGATAGAAATATATACCTCGTATGTAATAAATTACTCCGTACTATGTCCTGATATATGTTACTTATTGCTACTACGGAGTACGGAGTATTATTTTATGAATTGTTTTATTGAATTGGGAAAGTATGGTCTCGCTTGGGTTTCATATTTTTTTATCCTCTTTCATGATAAAGGAATGAGTAAAAGGTCAGTTTGGTCCTCGAAGTTGCAAAAAAAGGGTCAAATAAGTCCTTATATAGAAGATACTGTCCGGACATGCCATTTGAGGTGGCTCCCGATAGAATTTTTTGTTGAATTTTTTTGATCATCTTATTCATTAAGTCTAGTTTACTCATACCAAATTTCAGCTAACAATTCAATCGGGGACACATTCAAATGAATTCTTGAAGATAACTGCGCTTTTAACGGCACAGTTATCTTCAAGAATTCATTTGAATGTCTTCCCGATTGAATTTTTATTTGAAATTTGGTATGAGTAAACTAGACTTAATGAATAAGATGCTCAAAAAATTCCATCAAAAAATTCCACCGGAAGCCACCTCAAATGGCACATCCGGACAGAATTTTCTATATAAGGACTTATTTAACCCCTTTTTGGCAACTTCGAGGACCAAACTGACCCTTATCCCATAAAGGAATGTTTGCTACTCTATTATTTTGATTTCTATAAGTGTCAACATGTCAATTATTAAAAGTAATCAAGTCAATTCAAAATATTATACATATTTCCTCATGAAATTCATTGGGCACTAATGTAATCGCGCATCGCGCGTGTAAAAACTAGTTTCATTATAAAGATCGATCAATTCTCAATTAACCCGCTCTTTAATTACATTAATGAGCATATTAATTCCTAAAAATGTTATAACGGCCAACATGATATTCATTAACTTCCATGATCAATTCTCATAAATGTAGAATCAAACCGTCAAATATTTGGTTCAACACATGCTTATTTTTGTGTACAAATTTTGTATGTATGTGGCGAGAGACCTATGGACATCGTAAGCAGAGTGACAATTTAGAAATCTTGACAAACTTATTTGCATATTCAATCATAAAATTAATCTCAAAATAGCAAATTTTGTTCTTGGTTTTGCGCCAATGCGCCTGATTTATACTCCCTCCATCCCGTTGGAATGTTCCCGGTTTGACCTACACACATATTAAGGAAATAAACTTACCAGGGGGTAAATTTTACTGTTTGGACACTGTTTGGACACTGTTTGGACACTGTTTGACACTGTTTGGTACTGTTTGACACTGTTTTGCACTGTTTGACACTGTTTTGATGTAGGATAACTTTCCATTTAGGGAAATGAGAACTTTCCATTGGGACATCCAAAAAAGGAAAGTGGGAACATTCCAACGGGACGGAGGGAGTATATATCATGAGGAGTTCGTATTAAATGATAACTTTGAGTATCACTTTCAAAACATATGGTCATTTTTTGTGAATAATTCTTATTTTAGTGATAAACTCTAATAATCCTAACTTCAAAGTTTTACTTTTTAAAAAAACTTCAAAAGTTTTTCCTTCTACTACCTATTATTTTGCTTGATTTGGTCGATTAAGAATATTTTTTGCTTAGATTTAATTTAGTTCGAGACCACATCAAATCATCAAAACATATCAGACTTAAGGAGACTAGATCTATCAATAGTTATAAAATACACATAAATCATACGTCAACCAAATCAGTTTGAGCTAGGCCAGAAATTTCACTCTAGTATTGTATTTATTTAAGGAAAAATTGATAGTAATAATCTCAACTAATGGCGGTTTACTCATAATAATCCCAAATATCAAATATTTCAGAATAATCCCAATTTTAGGGACCTTCCGCCAATAATGATTCCTATAAATAAATTCATGTAGTTTGTAAAGTAGATGAGATGAGATAAAACAAGTAATCCCTTATGTAATCCTAGCTTTTAATTTTTATGCTTAATTTCTATTTAAAATTCACTTGTCATAGAAGGTAATATTCTGATCATGGACCATTATTGGCGGATGATCCAAATAGTCGAGATTATACAAAAATAATTAATAGTTAGGATTATTGTCAACAGATCGATAATAGCTGAGATTATTATTTTCAATTTTTCCTTTATCTTTCCTTTATTTATTTTTCCTTTATTATTATTTTCAATTTTTCCCTTATTTAATTCAACACTTGATAATATGGTATTTAATGAGACGAAAGTTAAAAAAACGGCAAGTAAAATGACGAAAAATTTAAGATGACAACTCTGGTACCCCATTTAAAAATGGGGTACCATACCTACCACGCATTTGATTAGTCCAAATCATTATATCATTTTTAATTTAGATTTAAGGGAAAAGGTGCAAATAGGCCCATGTACTAACAAAAAAAGGTCAAATAAGCCCTTATTTAGGAGGTTCTGTCCGGCCGTCGCCATTTGGGGTGGTTCCCGGTGGAATTTTTTGATGAAATTTTTTGAGCATCTTATTCATCAAGTCTAGTTTACTCATACCAAATTTCAGCTAAAACTTCAATCGGGAAAGCATTCAAATGAATTCTTGAAAATAACTGCGCAGTTATTTTGGTATGAAGCGCAGTTATCTTCAAGAATTCATTTGAATGCCTTCCCGATTGAAGTTTTAGCTGAAATTTGGTATGAGTAAACTAGACTTGATGAATAAGATGATAAAAAAAATTCATCAAAAAATTCCACCGGGAACCACCCCAAATGATGACGGCCGGGCAGAACCTCTTAAATAAGGACTTATTTGACCTTTTTTTGTTAGTACATGGACCTATTTGCACTTTTTCTCTAGATTTAAATATGCTGATTGGTTAGACAAACTACGGTTATGGTTACCATTTAATACTCGCAGTCTCGCATCTCAACTCAACACTGGTGTAACGTAACCATGTAAAGTCGAACAATTTGAGACTGCTCGAAGAAGAAGAAAATGTCCAATGAAAGGCACAGTTCCGGGATTGCATCTCCCGAAGATAATACTTTGTGAGAACCTCTTGAAGTTGTATTTTTTGTACTCACATATGTTTCTGAATTTGTTTTTAGGGTTATTGATTCTATGCTGCTATTTTACAAAAGTCTACCTGAAAAATCACATAAAATGAACAATTTATATGGCTTTAGGGAGACGGGATTTATTTCAGGGACGACGTGCCTATTTTCATTAATGGCGCATCATAGGAGGTCTGGTAATACCAGGGATTGCAAATTGATCAAGATTCAACACATTAGCTTAATAAAATATCTCCTGTGCTTGTTTCGTAAATGGAACGTGCTGTATATCTCGTGCATTCTTCACTAACTGATGAAGTTTTTCTCAAGCTCAGTTTCTTTATTCTTATCCGTCATCAGAGTGTAAGGATCCGAATTATGTCTTACTAGGTGTAAATTATTAGTGGAGCTTGATCTCAGTTTATGTTTGATTGGACACGGTTTTTATGAAATCTTATAAGTTTATTTTTCCCGTTGACTTGATTTAGAGCCTGTTTGGAAGCACGAAAATCAGCTGATTTGGCTGATTCTGCTGAAATTTATGAAGTTCTGGCTAAAGTGGCTGCATTGGCTGATTCTGCTATTTTAAGAAAAAATTATTTTAAAAATATACTTTATTAATAAAATAAAGAAAAAATAATATGTAAAATAGCTAAAATGGTCATCTACAATCACTTCAGCCAATACAGCTAGAAAAGTAACTCAAATCTTACCTTTTCAGCTTATTACACAATTCAGCGCGCGAAAACAAAAGTTACGTGTTTGGTGAAAAAACTGGCTGATAAGTCTGATAAGCCAAAAAACAGTGTTGCCAAACAGCCTCTTAGAGTTTAGAACTCATGCATCTCTTATGATGGAAATCCTGAACTCTAATATTTATAGTAAATCCATTAGGTTTGCAATACTGTAACCTGGCTATATGTTTTTTTATTAAAAGTTGATGAGATGAACTCAATAAAAAATTTGATGTGCTAAAGCTTCCTTCCTTCTATTCCAGGTTTGACTCGTTTTGCGAATAATAAGCATACACTTCTTCCCCTGCTGTTTGATAACATTATTTGCTCATATTTGCTGATTTGTATTCCAGTTTTGCCTATGTAACTTTCATTTTAAGTGCTAAAAAGGTGTAACTCGAGATTCTTCAAGCTTCTGAGTGAAAAGGTAAAAATGTTCATGATTCTTCTTCACTCTGTTTTAGATTCCTTGACATACTACATGAGGCACCTTTATTTGGTCGCCGGAAGCCTACACGCATTGCTGGGAGCATTTTCTACTGTTTTCTATTGGCAAGTATAAATCATCTGCTTATATGATTAACTGTAGAGTGTAGAATACAAAAAAGTCATTTTATAGCTGGTTGATTTGTTTCACCTCTAGGCAGGTTTTGCTAGTTTGGCTGTGGGCGCCAGTTGGGTGTTTCATCCCATCAAAGAATTAGTGCCTCCCCTTCTATGCAGTTGTAATGTAGTCCTCTTATTTACCACAGGTGCTAATTAAACTAGTGATGTGTTCTCCCCCAGACACACACATACACACCACCACCACCACCATGATCCTTATTTTGATGTGTGTGTTGTACAGGCATTTTTCAACAATACCTAGTACACCAAGTGAAAAAAATCCGACTACAGGTTGGTATTTCTTTCCTTTTCAATTAGGAGCATCGTATATCTTGTTGGCTTGAACTGAGAACTCAACTATATGGGCATTTATTTGTAGGGCTACTATGTTTTCAGCCAGAAGTTGAAGCATATAGTTCGCTTACCATTTGCTGCAGTTGCTTATGGTATGCATTATTTGCTTGATCTTTTTCTTTCTCAATTCATTGTCGATTTTTCTGCATATTTTATGCTATCATTATCTCCTTGACCATTAGGTTATCGACATTCTTTTTAAACTTGTTGGAACCATGGCTAACTTAAATAAGTTGCATTTGTGTTACCCATTTGTGTTTACTCTTTTTCCTCTCTTTTTGACAACTATTGATTCCTGCTAAAGAATACTCTACTTTGATGATGAACTATTGGTGCACCTTGATAATTCTCAATGCATTTAACGACTTGAGTCATCCTCTTGCAATAATATACTTACAGGAACCGCTGCAATGTTGCTTGTCATGGTCTGGGAACCACACATTAGCTTTCTCTCAATGTCTATGTTACTCAGGTTAAGAACATTCTGAATACATCATCTGAATAGTTGTCTCCAAATTCTATAATGCTGATTGTTTTACTTCGTGAATGGGGCAGTAGTGTACACCTTCATTTTACCATTTTTCAATGTGAAAATGAAGATTTAGTTCAAAATTACTGATAATTTTGCAACCTCTGTCACAAAATAAAGCCACAATAGTGCCAACTATGAACAGCCAAATTTGGCCTTCTGTAAAACTAGCAACTTTATCTGTTTCTTATGTAATCACAGTCACATTCTAAAAAAACCAAATCAGATAAACTTTACTCAATCTATCTTTTCGGTCAAAACTTAAATAATCTTTGGTGACATGGTTACAAGTGGTGGATGTAAAACTAAAAGCCCATGCAGGTCAAATTATTAAGAGAAATGTAGGTTCTACAACTGTTGTACACCTAATTTTCTTTTTAAGAATATGAACTATGCAGACTTTTCAAAGATTAGGAATGGGTTTTTAAATTTTAGAATATGTCTAAATTTTAAGATGAAACCCATTTAACTATGACATGAAAGTATGAAACCCATTAACTAATTCCTAGTTTTTAAATTTTAAAGTATTTCTAAATTTCTGTGAACTATGAACCGCAGGACTGATCTGCTCCGTATTACACTAACATATCAACTAATGTTATAGATCTCACTAAGCATAGAGGAATAACTTCTGTGTTTTCTTCTTCTCTGAAAACCTTGCAGTATTCCTTCAAGTGCGAATAAATGATAAATTAGACGCTATTGGGCTGTGCCCTCACTTGCCTCTACGTAAACCTCCCTTGATGGTTGCCATGTTGACACTTATTTTAATAAAATAAAAGTGACAAAAGTGTCAACAGTCCATGAGACCAACATGGCAGTCATGCCAACAAAAATCTTTGGTGTAGTGGTGGTGGTTCTAATACGACTTGTTCAGTTTAGTAGACATAAGTTGAAGTGTTGACTTTAAGTCATTAATGCTTCATTTGGATAGAGTGCACTTATGTAATCCTAGTGAACTTAATTGAGTGTGGGTTTAGTAAAAATTAGGTGAACCAAGGTGAACTTGGGTGCATACATAAAAATTGATTTTTGGATAATTATTAGGTTACCCTAGGTGAATGTAGCAATAATTTGTTTGGATGAAGGTTAACCTAGGTGAATATGTTAAATTTACGTATAAAGAGAACTTAACTTCTGAAAACCTCTGATTCGGAGGTTCTCCAAAACAGAGTTATTGGAGGTTATGCGGGATAAACCTAGGTTTTCTTGAAACATAGTTTCTTGTCACAAATTAGGAAACAAACGACTAATTCCGAAAAAGGCAGGGGAAGAGGCGGCATTTACCTATTACAGAGATAGTGGTGAACCTAGAATTAATCTTAGAAGAACCTAGGTTCACCTCGACACTAAATTTAACTAGAGTGGTGGATATTTGACACTACTAGACTGTTACAGGAATGACCTGTAAAAGCAAGGACAGATCACAGCACCAGATGAATAGAAAACAAAGACAACAAGTTTATTATTTATACATAATTCTGCAGATTGATTGAAGGAAGTAGTCAGATGTGAGGACAGAAAATCAGAGCATTCAGGGAAGAAGAGAGTGACAATTCCCAATACCCCTCCCATATACACCCTTAGGATAATTTATACCACGTACTATTTATGGGACCAATTCCTTCAGTAGTTCAGCAGGGTGCTAGTTAGCTTTGTCCACTTGCTTCGCCTGTTTCTCTCTCTCTCTCTCTATACTGCTATTTCCTTCTCAGACAGGACCCCACCACCTTCTTTATTTCCACCTTCAGCTGCACAGTTTACATATACCTAAAAATAAATCTTATGCTAATTCTAAGAAATCTTGTATGAAATATGTAGCGGAGTGATAACTTATATACTCTCCTTGTTTTTTCCCTCCATTCTTTCATTTCCTTTCCATCCCTAAATTATCTCTTCTTCTTTTTAAGGAAAGGATTATGAGGTTGATATTGTTTCTCTCTCTTCTAAACAAATGTTAAACTAATATTAATAACTCATATTCCACTTTCTTAAAATATGACGAGATAATAAAGGGAGGGAGGGAGTTTATTTAGGACCATCTTCTGTCTCTAGAATAACAATTTTAAGCATTAGAGTTAGTTTGCTGTTATACTTAGATGGAGATTAGATGTTACGAGTTATGACGCCTCAAAGATGCTTTACAATTGTTTAATCAGTTGATTTTTGCTGCTAACATTTGCAGAATCATTTTACTGGTTGAAGTAGTATGTGCTAGTTCCTTCATGAGTGCATATATTGGTGAGTTAATAAGCAAGTATGGAGTATTTTACTTGAGCTTGTAAATCTAGGGATTGCTTGCAATAATATCCAGAGCAGTTATCATATTTGTATTTGCAGGTTATGTGCATCAGTACAACTCGCTTGATTCTCAACCTGATGTTTTAAAATCACTTTATTCGCCGCTTCAACCATCAAGCTCTTTGGAGGGTTTAAGGTACCTCCAATTTTAGCTTTTGATCCTGTACAGAGCCGTCCTTTGGCTTGTGCAACCTGTTCAATAGAACAGCGCCCACCATTTTTAGAGGCCCCAATTTTTTTCTTTAGTAGCAATATTATATAGGTTTATAGCAAATTAGGAAATAGAAATAATTATTAATTAGAGGCCCTATTCTAAATATCAAAATGAAGCCCTACATATGAACAAAAATAAAATCACAAATAATAAAAACTCACAAAGTTCAACAAAGTTAATTGTACCCTAGTGCTCATATAGAAAAATACATGATTTAAAATAACTAAATTATCTATCATTTGAATAAAGCTACTCTCCTTGCCATCTTTGACGCAAAATTATCTATCAAATCCTTGTGCTCGATCTTCTCCAAATAGTCATTCTCAAATCTCAATTGCTACCATCACCAAACTGTTGAGTCTCTCTTGTGACATTGTAAACTGCAAATAAGATTTTAACAATTTAAGCTTGGAGAAACTTCTTTCTGCACTTGCCACGGTCACTGGGATAGTCAACATTATTCTGTATGCAATTACCACATTAGGCAAACAAGTATAATGCTTCAAATGTCTGAAGATGTCTAAAGGTCCCATTTTCAACTCCATATACAAATCATCCCCATCAACATCAGACTGTTCATCTTTCTTAACAACCCCTTCAAGATGAGAACAACATACCTTCAATTGTGTATCTTCTAATGATTTCAATTTCTATAAGTAAATAAAAAGCCAAAAATATTTCCAAATTCCTGATATTGTTCAAACCTCCTTCTTAATGAAACAATATCTTAATCAACAATATATAACAAATAGTTAAGCCTAAATGATTCATCGGCAGATAGATTAACAACTAACTTCTGACGTGCTATCTCGACTCTCATCAAATTGTTTCCTTCTTCGAATTGCTCTACTTTGAGGAAAAACTGGATCAATATCAAGCTCAAAAGCATTTTTTTTCGCTTCTTCTATACCACTTTCATAACCACTTTCTCGATATCCCTAAAAAAATCAAAGTCTTTATCTTTTGAGTACTTACATCTAAAAGCATTCTCTTTGATTGCAAACTGTTACTCACCAAATTGACATGATATATCATTTCATACCAAATGATTATTGCCACTAAAAACTCAAAATTACCAAGTTTATGCAATGCTAATGACTTAGCTTCACTACATATTTTAGAATCACTGTCTTTTTTAGCTATCTCAAGCAACGCTTCACGAATGTTCCCAATTTGGAACCTTACAGCTTTCACACTTTCAATGTGACTTCCAACGAGTGGCCGATAATGATTTCAGAGTTAATTCCTTTACATTGTCTTTCAAAACCTACCATTTTTGGTTGAGATCGCAAAAATTGTGTAAATGCGTTGACCAATTCCAAAGAAATCTCTAGCCTTTCTATAACTATTAGCCATATCACATAACATCAAATTAAAACTATGACAACCACATGGATCCTAAAAAGCTTTTGAATTTATGTCTAGCAATTTCTTTCAAACTCTTTGATGTGTTCCTTTCATGTTTGATCCATTATCATATCTCTAACCTCTTACATCATCTATATCAAGATTCAAAATTTTTAATTCATTACATCAAAAAGTCCTGGGCCAGTTGTTCATAAACATTTAGAAATCCTATAAATGACTTCTCAATGATAACTTCATCCAAAGACACATTCATATATTTCAATATCATAGACATTTGTTTTTGAGGGCTAATGCCCGGAGTACAATCAAGTATCATTAAAAAGTACTTTGCTTGTTTAATTTTTCATATAATTTCAGACTTAATTTGAGAAGCAAACAAAAGTATCAATTCATCTTAAATTGCATGATCAAGATAATGGAAATGAATCTCATCATTTGTGATCCGACTAACATGTTCTTGAGTAATAGATCAAACTCTGCAAGCATTTCAGTTAAAGCTAAAAAGTTTTCATTGTTGTTTGCATACAACCGCTCATTACTACCTCAGAAAGCCAAATTATGTTTTGTCAAAAACTTGACAATCGAAACAATTCTCAAACTACACATTGCTCCAGTGCCTCCTTTCTTATTTAATTAAGGAAAATTGCCCTAAATAGGAGCAAATGAGGTTTGGAATTCCAAAATAGGACTACTACTTTTTTCTTCCCGAAATAGGAGTCGTTACTGTCATGTATGAAAAATACTGACATGATTGAAAAATAATCATTAACTATCATAAATAATGTCATGTTAAATGCACTGTACTCTAACTATTTGGCAGTCACGCCTATAAGATGACAGTAAATACTGACATGTTAGTCCTATTTCGGGAGTAAAAACATAGTAGTCCTATTTTGGGATTCCAAACTCCATTTACTCCTATTTTGGGAAATCTCTCTTTAATTAATCCTTGAGTCGCCTTATCAATAGTTTGATTATGTTTAAGCCTCCATTGCAAATCATATCAAGTGGCCATATTTTTAATGTGCTCTATACCTATTTCATGCTCGTTAATCCTAACAGAAAGATGTTTCCAATCATTAAAACCTTCTAATGCTAATTGCTGTCTCCTTGAATTACTAAACACTTTCCTGCAAAAGCAAAAGATTCTATCAAGTTCTCTTGAATATACAAGCCAATCTCGATCACATTTCGCTCCATTTGATAACACTTTTGTATAATACGAGCAAGAAAAACATTTGTTATATTTATCTCTCGGATAACTCTGAGTTGGCATGTTTTGTTTTGATCCCCGCTCAACTAAAACATCAATCATGTCTGCACTTAGAGCATCCCAATTTTGAGGATCAAATATATCAATTCTAAAAGTTTCTTCAACATTTGGTTTAGTCGGAAGTTACGCGTGCAAGTTGATATTGAATTTATAAACCAAATGTTGGAGAAACTTTTAGAATTGATATATTTGATCCTCGATTAGGATGCTCTAAGTGCAAACATGATTGATATTTTAGTTAAGCGGGAATCGAAACAAGACATGTCAATTCAGAGTTATCCGAGAGATAAATATAACATACGTTTTTCTTGCTCGTATCATACAAGAGTGTCATCAAATGGAGAGAAATTTGGTCGAGATTGGCTTCTATAATCAAGGGAACTTGATAGAATCTTTTGCTTTTGTTGTATAGTGCTTAGTAATTCAAAGAGAGAAAACTAGCATTAGAAGGTTTTAATGATTGGGCACATCTTTTTGTTAGGATTTAAGAGCATGAAATAGGTGTAGAGCATATTAAAAATATCGCTACTTGGTATGATTTGCAATGGAGGCTTAAACATAATCAAACTATTGATAAAGCGACTCAAGGATTAATTAAAAAGGAAAGAGAGCAATGCGTAGTTGAGAATTATTTCGATTGTCAAGTTTTTGCCAAAACATAATTTAGCTTTCTGAGTTAGTAATGAGCGGTTGTATGCAAACAACAATGGAAACTTTTTAGGTTTAATTGAAATACTTGCATAGTTTGATCCTATTATTTAAGAACATGTTAGGCGGATCACAAATGATGAGATTTATTTCCATTATCTTTGTCATGGTATTCAAAATGAATTAATACTTTTGCTTTCTTCTGAAATTAAGTCTGAAATCATACGAAAATTAAACTAACAAAGTACTTTTCAGTGATACTTGATTGTACTCCAGACATTAGCAATCAAAAGAAAATGTCTATGATATTGAAATATGTGGATGTGTCTTCCGATGATGTTTTCATTTGAGGAATTATTTTTAGGATTTCTAAATGTTGATGATACAACTGAAAAAAGACTTTTTGATGTTTAACAAAATGAAATAAAAAATTGGAATCTTGATATAGATGATGTAAGAGGCCCTAGGGATATGATAATGGATCAAATATGAAAGAAAAACATTAAGGAGTTTAAAAGAAATTGCTAGACATAAATTCAAAAGCTTTTTATGCTCCATATGGTTGTCATAGTCTTAATTTGATGTTATGTGATATGGCTACTGCTTGTGAAAAGGCTAGAGATTTCTTTGGAGTTGTTCAATGCGTTTACACAATTTTTGCGAACTCAACCAAAAGATGGCAAATTTTAAAAGACAATGTAAAAGGATTAACTCCGCAATCATTATCGGCCACTTGTTAGGAGAGTCACATTGAAAGTGTGAAAGCCATAAGGTTCCAAATTGGGAACTCGTTGCTTGAGATAGCTGAAAAAGATAATGATTTTAAAATATGTAGTGAAGCTAAGTCTTTTGGCAATTTTGAGTTTTTAGTGGCAATAATCATTTGGTATGAAATGATATATCATGTCAATTTGGTGAGTAAGAGTTTGCAATCAAAGAGTATGCTTTTAGATGTAGCTATTCAAGAGATGAAGACTTTGATTATTTTTGAGGGATATCGAGAAAGTGGTTATTAAAGTGCTATGGAAGAAGCGAAAAAATTGTTGTTGGGGTTTGATATTGATCCAGTTTTTCCTCAAAGGAGAGCAATTTGAACAAAGAATCAATCTGATGATAGTCGAGATAGCGTCAGAAGTTGGTGTGTTGTTGGAGTTTGTATTGATCCAGGTTTTCCACAAAGAAGAGCAATTCGAACAAAGAATCAATTTGATGATAGTCGAGATAACGTCAGAAGTTGTTGATCTATCTATCGATGAGTTGTTGATCAAACTATTCCCTTATTTAAGAATAAAGGTGATGTACAAGAATGTGCCAACTATCGAGGGATTAAGCTTATGAGTCATACCATGAAACTTTGGGAGCGAGTGATTGAGCAAAGACTTCGAAGAACGGTGAAGATTTCAGAGAATCAATTCGGTTTTATGCCTGGTCGCTCAACAACTGAGGCTATTCACCTTCTTCGGCAACTTATGGAGAAGTATAGAGATGCTCACAAGGATTTGCATTTAGTATTCATTGACTTAGAAAAGGCATATGATAGGGTACCTCGAGAAGTTCTTTGGTGGGCCTTAACTAGAAAAGGCATTTCACGCAAGTATATCATCATCATCATGGATATGTATGAGGATAGTACTACAAGTATTTGTACTAGTGTAGGGAGGACTGCGGAGTTCCCTATTACTATCATAGTGCACCAAGGATCGACCTGAGCCCTTTTTTATTTGCCATAGTCATGGATGAACTTACAAAGTCAATTCAGGACGATATACCGTGGTGCATGATGTTTGCCGACGATATTGTATTGATTGATGAGACACAATCAGGGGTTAAAGCAAAGTTGGAAGTATGGCAACAGACATTGGAGAACAAGGGTTTCAGACTAAGTAGAAGCAAGACAGAGTACATGGAGTGCAAGTTTGGTGGAGGTAGAAGCAATGGTAATAGCGGAATTACTTTAGATGGTAAGGAGATACCGGTCAGCGATATGTTCCGTTACTTGGGCTCCAAAATTCAGAAAGACGGTGAGTTAGATGGAGATGTATCCCATAGAATCAGAACAGGGTGGATGAAGTGGAAGAGTGCGTCAGGATTTCTATGCGATCGAGGTATGCCGACTAGACTGAAGGGTAAATTTTATAGGACAGCAATTGGGCCTGCATTATTGTATGGCACGGAGTGTTGGGCGGTGAAACAATGTCACATTCAAAAGATGAGTGTGGCAGAGATGTGCATGTTGCGTTGGATGTGTGGGCATACTAGAAAGGACCGCGTGAGGAATGAGACAATTAGACAAAGGGTGGGAGTAGCACCTATTGAAGATAAGATGCGGGAGTCACACCTACGGTGGTTTGGTCATGTGCATAGAAGACCGAGTGATGCACCTGTCAGACGAGTTGAGATATGTGGAGAAGAGGTAGGGAAGAGAGGGAGAGGAAGGCCCAAACAGACGTGGGTTAGGGGAGTCAGAAGTGATATGCTTCTTCTTGGATTGGATGAGAGTATGGCTTTGGAGAGAGCAAAATGGAGGGCGGGTATTCGTGTGGAAGAGTGATCTTGTATCATCTTTTCTCCTCTTTTTTTTTCTCTTTTTCTTTTATATTTTTATCCTTATATATAAATATTACTTTATCCTTTTTATTTGATCTTTTATATGTATATTCATCTCTTTTATATTATCTTTTTTTTATAATAGCTTATCTTTTTTATCTTTATTTTCGTTCTTTTCCTTTTGGTGATATCATATATCGATTCATGTTAGCCGACCCCAATATCGTTTGGGACTAAGGCTTGGATGTTGTTGTTGTATTGATCAAACTATTGTTTTCATTGAGAAGGAGGTTTGAACAATATGAGGAATTTGAGAATATTTTTGACTTTTTATTTACTTTTGAGAAATTGAAATCATTAGAAAATGCCCAATTGATGGTATGTTGTTCTCATCTTGAAGGGGCTGTTAAGAAAGATGTACAGTCTGTTGTTGATGGGGATGATTTGTATATGGAGTTGAAACTTTTTAGAAAATTTTCACCTAATGAAAAAATGGGACCTAAGATTTATACTTGTTTGTCTAATGTGGTAATTGCATACAGAATAATGTTGACTATCCCAGTGACCGTGGCAAGTGGAGAAAGACTCAACGATCTACAATGTCACAAGAGAGACTCAACGGTTTGGCGATGATAGCAATTGAAAATGATTATTTAGAGGAGATCGGATACAAGTATTTGATAGATGATTTTGCTTCAAAGACGGCAAAGAGAGCAATTTTATTCAAATGTGTGCGCCACGTCAGCGGGTGACCTGCTGACATGGCAAGTAACCTGCAAATGTACTCAATTGAACGTTTTTACAAAGTTCAGGAATTTGATTGATTTTTTTAAAAATACGAGGACCGAATTGACTTTTTCATGAAGTACGAGGACCAAATTGACAGTTTTCCCTTTTCTATATGTGCACTAGAGCACAATTAATTTTGTTGAACTCTGTGAGCTTTTTAAAACAAGGCCTCTAAATTTATTAGACGCCTCTGATCCTGATGTAAAAAATTATGATAACAGAAAAACATCATGATACATGTCGAGATGGGACAATAGCTCATTGTAATTGGTTTACTCCATTTCTTGCGCACCATTAAAAACCATATTTTCTAATACATTTTAAGCTTGACAGTAATATTATGATTCTTTTGGGATAACAGGTATCATGATGGTGGCCGGCTCTCTGATCAGCAGATGGCTTTATTGCACTATCAACAAGAAAATATTCACTTTTTGAATGAGGAGGTAGGCAGTAATTGCTCAATGGTTGTCTTGGTTGAAATAAGTTTTTCTGTAATGAGTAAATGTGTGAACATCATGGCCTCTAGGATATCTGATGTAAGCAGAATTTGATCATTGGTCATCTCCAATGAAGTGACATGTGATACTCAACTTACCAATCTGTGCTAAGTTGCCAATGATGCAAGGTGGTTCGTGCATGCTCAAAACAAAAAATAGAAGTAAAATGCTCACAGCTCACTATCAAGCTCTTAGTTGTACATCAGATAATGTGAACTATTTGAATGATCACCATTCTTTAGGATCAAAATGAAAATCTTAATCAGATTAGGATTCAGTTTTGTCATGGGCGTGGTTGAAAGAAGAAGAATGGACACTGAAGATAAAGAACTCTTGGCAGAGAGTTCTTTATCAATGATTAAAACCCCAAAGACCCGTGAATTTACTCCGAAGTTATGGATTTATCAATGATTAAACCCCTCCATTTTAGTACTTCCATGCGCTGAGCAAGTATTAGAGTCATAACCTATTACGTTAGAACTTAACTAAAATAGAAGACTAATTCTGAAGGAACTTGTACCAATTACTAATACTACCTCCGTCCCAAAATTAACTTCCCGTTCGGTTTACGATGCTTGACTGACGATAAAGCAACTCGATCCCTGCTCACACTCGGATTATTTTTAGTAAATAAAATTTACATATTCAGAAACTACATTAAAACCGCTACAAAGCCTGATCAATAAAATTTAAATTTGATAAAAATTTGATATAAAAAGTAAAAGATTACGAGTGATTCAAGTTGACCAATGAATAGTGACTGGGAAGTTGTTTTTGGGACGGAGGGAGTATAATAGTAATAATAATGTGAAGCCTCCTTCCGCAATGCTTCTTTTTACGTTCCTAGCATGAGACAAGCCAGTAATGGTTACCGAAGGATACGGAGGGTGTGTTTGGATGGGTGGGGGGGGGGCATTTGTGCTGAATGCTAACCAAGATCTTTCTTTTGCAGATACTTAGATTGCAAGAATGCTTATGTAAATATGAAGGATGCAATGATGGGAGTGCGCCTCAGGTAATGGCCGTTCTCACCATGTCACCATGTGTCTTTTTGCGCTGATGGACTTTTTTCTCTTATCTTCTCAAATAAGATTAGGAAACATTCTTGTTGACCCAGGCTTATCTCGCCGCGCGTAAAAGGAAATATGTATGCATAACAATAACATTGATAGTAATAATGTATACTATTTTCACAGACAGGTCTTTAAAATGTGCAGGCAGCTATACTAGGTTTGCACTTTCCAATCTAGTTCATTCTAGTATTTCTATAAGATAAGTGCTATTTCCATGTGGGTGGAGTCAGTGGTGCTATTGAAGTGAGGAAATAACGGAAACTAGTTTCTTTTCCAGGTTGATCTTGCTCATCTGTTGGCAACTCGTGATCAGGAATTACGCACGATTTCAGCTGAGGTAATTTGTGACCTTTGAATTTTCTCTTATATATATTCTGAAAACAGGATGTGAGACGTGGATGAAATGCGTAAATATAAAAAATAGTTTTTTAATAAATAATCACGTATATAAATATTTGCAAATAATAATGTATCATATCTAAAATACAAACTTCTCGCATATTAGTTAAAACAAAATTGAATATTAATTTTATCTAAAAACCCAAAACTTCTCATATGTTAGCGCAATACAAAGTTGAAATTATGACACCCATATAATTAATTAATTCATCAAACTCATTTTCTGCATGATGAACATCATCATCTTTAAAGAAAAAGAAATTGCCATAGTAGGAGAAAAAATGCTCTAGAATTTCAAGATATTAGAACTATGTTTCTGTTCCTTAAATAGGATTAATTCCTGCCATGTTTCATGTTTGGAAACTATTGCCAATTATGGCAGTAATACTGCCATATAAAAGCTTCGGGTATAACTTATTTCGTCTATTCAAATGGATGAAAGACAACTTTTAGAGTGATTATGAACTCGAACAATACACTATACACCACCCTCTATTTCCTAGAATCTTATCAAACGTAGTACTAAGAGAATCTGGATTGATGAAGGGACCAATGTTCAAAGAAAATTAAGATATTCATCGTTGGCTTTGAATCGCTCTTTTGCGAAAAATGTTCTTTATACAATTATGTCTATCTAAAGACAATTCATTGTCCATATTGGACACAATCTGCCATCTCCGTCTTGAACCCATTTTTCATTATAATACTGTAAAAATATTAATTAAATCAATAGAAATTGCTCCAAATGGGACTAAATCATAGGCAAAATTCTAAAATAGGACCATATATGTTTTCTATCTAAAATATGACTTATTTAGTCCTATTAAAAGAATTAAAACTTCTCTAATTATGAGTGCACAAGTTTAATTTTGGGAAGAAAACAGTGGTACTCCTATTTGAGAAATCTTACTACGTTTTACTCTTATTCAGACTCATTAATCAAGTTAAAATTATCATCATCATCATCATCAACATCATCATCATCATTACCCCAGTGCCGCAAAGGCTCCCACCTACGGTGGGGTAAGAGGGGGTCGGATTTACGCAGCCTTAGCTTTACCCCTGTACTGAAGTACAGAGAGCCTGTTTCCGAATGACCCATAGTGAAAATCGCGTCAAAATTACATAAACTGACTACTGCTTCATAACAAAGATCACAGACAGTTAAACAAATACCATAGATATAGAAGAGTTCAATAAAAATACAGTGGATATAAAGAATGAGCTAGGCAATGAAGTGGAGTATATTCTTGGTCCAACAATCAACAAATGTGATGAAGAACATAATAAAAGGGAGAATATTCACCAAATGACTTTCCTTCATGCTCAAAGATGGTCATCTTCACCTTTTCAATCATTGAATCCCATAATTCATACACCATATGGAGTCGTGACTTGTTTGTATCACAACTCCTAATCATATCACAAATATGAGCGCAGAGATTTAATATATAATCAACCTTTTCCCACAATGCTTCATCCAAAACCTTTTCACGAATAAAGCTTAGTTTTTCCTTGACCATCAGCCTGGTATTCTAATCATTAATCGCTCAATATCATTGCTTCATATGTTTTTCACATCACTTTCCACATTTTTCGCATCACTATGTTCTATAAAGCAAGATTAAGAGTATCAACAACACATGTAGCTCAATAATTATTTGGAAACATACCTTCAATGATTCTTTTAGTGACTATAATTTTTAACATGACCCAAACAGAGGATTAGAGTTGTCAAGAATGATACGATATTTCTTGGGTTGGATGGAAGTATGATTTTGGAAGTACAAACTTCTTCTTAAGTGTGAATGATTGATCACTTTTTATCCTTTTTAACTTTGATTTAATGTGTCAATTCATGTTACCCGACCCCAAACTCTTTTGGGACTAAGGATTGAATGTTGTTGTGTCATTTTGGGATGACCAATCTCATCAATGACTTCTATCAAAATATTAGCAGTACATTGTTTGTCCTTCACTTCACCTGAACAATTCATAACTTTGATAAACACAATGTTACGGACCTAGCCCATACTAGGCCCATATGAAGGCCATAAGCTCAGGTGTAGAACCCACTCCCAAAAGACCAGTCGATTAGGAGGAGGGTATACCTTGCTTATAAGCCACCGGTCAAGTCCATATTTGAGGGGTGTGGGATCGTTATGATACCCCACGCTTCGAAGAGTCAACGTCCTCGTTGGCACAATTATGTTGGTCACTGTTGGCACCCCCATAGCCCAAACCACTGTTAAGACACAGAGATGGAACCCCGGGTCTTAACAACCACCACTCCGAGTGTCGGGACCAGGAAGAGGGGGATGACTTTGATACCAATTGCTATGAGACCTAGCCCATACTCGGTCCATATCAAGGACATAAGCCCAGATGTAAAACTCACTTCCAAAACACCTTTGATATAAGCCACCGGTCAAGCCCATACTTGACCGGTGTGGGATCGTTACACACAAGTCCTGATTAACATGTAACCATCACAGTAATTAAATGTCTTCTTTGTGGATCACTCCAAGTTAAATCAATTTGAATGGACGTAACAAGTTATTCCAAGAAGGCACTTGGATCTAATTGTCTTATTAAGTCTGATGAAGTTTAATCCATTTTATGGATGTTGCAATTTTATTTTTTTGTTGCACTTGTATACGCGAAGTTTCTGTTACAAATGATACATAATTAGTTGTTTATATACTCCCCCCACGTTTTATGTCCTATTTTTTCTTTGAGTGTTGTTTCTTGTCTTTCGTGTTTCCGTGCTACATAGATGAATACTATGTTATGTCCATAGTATTCAAGTGTTTTATACTGTTTCTCAACTATCACATGTTTAAAGGATCCTAATGTTGATTCAATGTCAAGAGTGATGTCGTTCTAGTTTATATATGGTCATTGCCTTTTGTTTCTTCAGATGAATCAAATGCAATCTGAGCTAAGGCTTGCTCGATCACTTATTGCCGAGAAGGATGCTGAGATTCAACGCTTACGTGGTATAAACAATCAGGTCTGTTCTTAGAGCTTTTGTTGTGCTTCCTGTGTTTTCAGAAGTTTTGTTTTGTTCTGATATTTTTATAGAACCATGTTTGGCAGACCTGTTATAGTGTTATGTACATCTGGTATATAAGGTATTTATTACATAAAAGAGTATCAAAGTCAAACCTGTTTCGTATACAATATTTATACCTTTTTAAAGACATTATATGATTGGCTAAAGGGTCAAATAAGCCCTTGAACTGACTTAAAGTGTTCAATTAGCCCCTTATATAGTAGGTTCTGCCCGTCCGTCGCCAATTGGGGCGGTTCCCAGTGGAATTTTTTGATGAATTTTTTTTAGCATCTTCTTCATTAAGTCTAGGTTACTCATACCAAATTTCAGCTAAAAATTCAACCAGGAAGGCAGTCAAATGATTTTTTGAAGGTAACTGCGAAGTTAAACAACACAGTACATTTCGGAAAATCATTTGACTGCCTTCCCGGTTGAATTTTTAGCTGAAATTTGGTATGGGTAAACTAGACTTAATGAAGAAGATGCTAAAAAAATTCATCAAAAAATTCCACCGGGAAACCACCCCAATTGGCGACGACCGGGCAGAACCTCCTATATAAGGGCTAATTGAACACTTTAAGTCAGTTCAAGGGCCTATTTGACCCTTTAGCCTATATGATTATAACAAAAACTTTGCTTGTTCTAAAAAAGTATCGAACTCAGAAACATGCATTTGGAATCCATCAACGCAACGCAATGCATTCGTATTTCACGCAATGCATTCGTATTTCTTATGATGTTGATGTGACATGAATTGACATGTCACATCGGAGCAAGGACATGAAGACATTCATAATTCATATAATTCTAAAATTCATTAAATAAAAAATCAGAAACTGAAAACAGGAACTCTACTATGGAACACATTTTCTTATTTCTGTTTCTATAAGAATAAAAACAAAAATTCATAACAGAAAACAAAAACATCACCAAAAGACGCTTTACGTTTTTGTTTTCCTATTTATTGTTCTTGTTGAGCATATTAACTCACATAAAAGACAGGTCAATATCTCACATGGCATTTTTATTTTTATTATGCTATGAAGTATGTGGAGGAAAATGAAAGACTCAGAGCGATTCTGGGGGAATGGAGCAGCCGAGCAGCTAAGGTAAGCGCATTAATTGATCTTGTCGGGATATTGAACAATAATCTGATGTTTTAACCTCTTCATTTCCGTGGGTGGATACAAAAGCTTGAGCGCGCATTAGAGGCAGAGCGGATGTCAAACTTTGAGTTGCAGAAGAAAGTGAGCTCGTTAAGAAGCCAAAGCCCAACTGCATGAGGGATTTTTAGCTTGTGAGGGAGCTTCAATACAAGTTTTTTATTCATTGTTTCGTTTTCATCTTAAAAGTTACTAATTTATGCTTATCCACTGAAGATAATCCTAGGCGTTCCTACTTCACAGTTATAGTACGATAGTATGTTATTATGCTTCTTTTTAAGTAAAGTAGTAAACCTTTCAGTTTCAATTGCGAGAGTTCCATCAAAACAGAGTAATCAAGGCTCATCATCATTATCAATTTATCATATCACCACCATCATTATCATCACCACCGCATAGCCTCCCACCAACGGTGGGGTAAGGTGGTCGGATGTACGCAGTATTACCCCTGTACTAAAGACTGTTTTCGAATGATCCATGGCGAAAATCGCGTCGTAAATTGCACGTTTGGTCCTCCAAAAGCAATGGTGCAGCCAGCAGCTTTGGTCTCCCATGCATGTTCTAATTGTGGTAATAGAGTATTTGAGTCCCGAACTTCCTTCATTGACCATTCATTGCCTTGGTTTGAAGTCCACGTCGTACTGGCCGATCATCAAGAACCACTTGGTTATCCTTCCGCTTGCCATTGGATTCCTGAATTTCATTCTATTGCAAAGTATGAAGTACATTTTTAGTAGGGAAAAAAGAGTATCTATAATATTCAATTTAAATTCTCTATTTTTATTGAGGAGTTTTCTGATATGGGGTACGGACCAAGTGATAAGATTTAAATAATGAGTAACTAATATTTCTACTTTTCTTAATTACCTTTTGTAAATATTCCATATGATAAATGCATATATTTTAGTGGTAATTATCAAATGTTTAAGAAATTGGACCAACAAGTGACCCGTCAATGGGTCGCGGGTCAATCAGTTAACATCATCGGTATATATATATTTGCATGCCTGATTGCCAGACCCCTCTCCCCTTTTGAGTTTTGAGATGTACTGGCCTACTGGGTAGTCGAATCTACCCCTTCATCTTCTTTCCCAAATCACCAGATTGTCATGTCTTCTCCCTTCCCTAGTATTCTTCTTTCCCATGATTAGTTACTTCCAAATTCCAAGACTAGGCCTTCCCTATTATGGGTGGACCGGTTCCGGTTCGGGCCCGGTTCGGGCCTGGGCCCGGCCGGGCCTCAGTTCAGAAATGGGAGGCCCGGAACCGGCCCGGGTGATCCCGGTTCCGGTTCGGGCTGGGCCGGGCCTCGGTTCTATTTTTTTTGGCTTTATCTAATTAACCCCCAACCCTCCCCCCTCACCCCCAAACCACCTCAAATGGCCCAAAATACCAAGCCCAACCCAAAAACTTAAAAAAAATTCAAAAAAAAAAAAATTAATTTGGCCCGAACTGGGCCCGAACCGGCCGGGCCGGTTCGCCAATCAAAGGGCCCGGGCCCGAACCGCACAGTAACCGGGCCGGGTCGACCCGAACCGCCCCCCGGACCGGTTCCCGGGCCGGGCCGGTTCAAACAGTAACCGGGCCGTCCGGCCCGAGTCCATCCTTATTCCCTATTCATCTGCATTCCCTTATACCAGTTATACGGAGTCCAATTTAAAAAATCAAAACTTATTCCATAATACGAAGTTCAGTCTAAAAAATCATTGAAAACTTTTAGATATGTACTTATAATTAGTAAATTAGTAAATTCATGCATTTGTGTAATTCATGTTGGAGAATTCAAAGTTTATCATGATGCAGTTAGGTAGGTATTTAGACTACGGATGAAGGATTGTCCATTGCCTTAAACTAGGGATGGGCAGGTACGGGATATTTGGGCTTAAGGCCCAATACCGGCCCGGGATTCTACCGGGCCGGGCTGGGCCCATGTTGGGTCATTTTTTTTTAATTAGGCTTTTCTAATTTATTCCTACCCCCACCCCCAAACCCGCCAAAACATCCAGCCCAACCCACCTAGCAGGGCCCAATGCCAAAAAATAAAAAATAAAAATATTTTGGCCCAGACGGCCGGACGGCCAGGCTGGTCACCCATTTCCCTGTCCCGCAGCCCGCCCCCTATCCCCGGTTCGGGCCTCCCAGTACCGGTCCCGGTACCCCCCGGCAGGCGGAGTCGAACCTGCACAGTGGCGGGCCGGGCCGACCTGTCCCAGTCCATCCCTACCTTAAGCTAGTCCTACATATCATCGAAACTTGAAAGCTAGAAGTGATATTCAATTTGACCTCTTCCAGACTTGCGGTTTATCAGAGTAATCGAATCTCATCTTTTACTTGTAATCATGATTCAAGATAAATATTTTTCAAGCAACATGTTAAATATTTTGATCAGGTCACATCCTTTTCCAGGCAAACTTCCAAATGAAACTGCCCTTACGATTTACTACTTGGTCGGTTGCTCCATTTTTAAAACAAAAACACTCCCACAATCCACCAACTGAACAAGCATGAGATACCATGATCAAAATCTTTATTATGCAGAGTAGTCTAACTCCAAAAAGAACATCAACTGTTTCACTATATGGTATTAAATGCTTTCAAAAAACTATATGGTATTAAATGATTAATTATCACAATTTCCCGATTATTTATGGCTCCCGCAACAAGGTAAATCGTTTGTTGCTTTGTACTATGGTTATTTTCCTTTGACCTTATACTACAAGTTAGCCCCATTAAAGTTATAGTATGATGATGATGATGATGAATTTCAACGGGGATGGATTCAGGAATTATTGGTGGGGTGGAATAAACAAGAGATTATTCCCTAAATAGGGGTAAAAACGTTTTGAAATTCCAAAATAGGAGTATCATGTTTTTTATTCTCTGAATAGGAGTAAATTTCTGCCAAGTTTAGTTTTACAAGGCTTTAAAGATGACACTTTCTTCCAAACTTGGCAGATAACTCCTATTCAAGAACTAAAAATCATATACCCCTATTTTGGAATTTCAAAACGTTTTTACTCCTATTTAGGGCAATTTCTGAATAAACAATTAAAAAATGTTGTTATCACACACACAAAGTTTAGCTTAGGATTATTATCGAACCGATTTTTTTGGATATGTTCGAGTTTTGATTTTGAATCTAATTTAATGATTCGAGCTTCAAACTCGAACACAACTACACAAGTTAGAGCACACACTTGCACTATCCTAGAGATAGATTGATTAGGTTTTGAACTTCCTTCACCAATTTGACAATCTACTTTCTTAAAGAATGACAAAATCTTATTCCTTTCTTGGCAAACTAATAAGTAATAATATATTGTATTGACTCTAATTCCCAATTTAAATATGGAATTCAGAATTTTGATTCTTACTTACATGCCCAAAAAGTAAATAAATCATTCTCAATATAATTTTCAAGACTTCAATTGCATATGAAATTGTGATGTATTTAAATTAAAAAGACCACTACCATGAATTACATTTTAAATTAATCTTTAAGAATTAAGACCTGTACTAAATTGATAATATCATTAATCATTATAATGAATAAACACCATTTTATTACAAAAAAACTTTAATTCTTTTTTACATGCCCAAAAAATTAATAAATCATTCTTAGTATAATCATCAAGACTTCAATTGCATATGAGATTGTGATGTATTAAAATTAAAAGGACAACATTTATGAATTACATTTGAAATTAATCTTTAAGAATTAAGACTTTTCCTAACTTGATAATAACATAAATCATTATAATGAATAAACACCATTTAATTACAAATTAAATTTTAATTCTTTTTTAAGTGCCCAATAAATAAATAAATCATTCTCAAAAGTGAAATTTTGGGTGCGAGAATAATCTATATTTGAAAGAAACTTTTAAGGGTGACAAAAGTGATTTTTTTTCACTCTTTAGTTTATTTGCGCAAAATTCCCATTTTAAATAAACCAATACCTATAACTAAAAAATGGGTTGGGAGCCCACCGTAACCTCTACAGTAACTCGCCCCTAAACTCGTACATGTCATGGACGTCAAATAAGGAATCAAATTACAATTAATCTTGACTCGAATACTACATTAAACACACGGTTATAGCTTAAAAGTCAATATGATAAGAGAAATAGCTAAAAAAAAATTATATATTACTCCATCCGTCCCACTGGATCAAGATATAGTGACACACAAATCAATAAAAGGTGATTTATGTGGTTGATATTGAATTGATAAAGTAAGAATAAAGTAAAAATGATTTATTAAGGTAAAGTATTAATTGTAGTCCAAAAATATACATGGTGCCTAGTATATATACACGCACGATATACACTACTGCTAATTATGAGCCCTTAGCCCATATGAAAAATACAAATGTAATTACAAATTAATTAAGGCCTAAAAGGGCCTAACAGAGCTACACAAACTTTATCAAATTTGATATGAGAAAGGATAATTAATTGAGGGGATTTTCAGAAGAAAATTAGGGTCATCCATGGGAATATCATATAACCTAAGACATAGATGGACTTAAGATTCCCCTTCATATTACATCCACGGGAATATATTTTTCCGATTTTTCTCAACACCGCGAACCGAGCATTGACATCTAAGGGGGTGTTTGGAACTGATTCTGCTTCTGCTTCTTTTTTAAATCAGAAACAGAATCAGAATCAGTTTTCAGAAGCTGGTCTCTCTCATCTTCTAAAAAACGGATTCTGGGAGTAAATTAGAGCCAAACACTCCAGCTTCTGGCCTTCTGCTTCCGCTCTCAATCTGAAAGAGTAGAAGAAGTTTTAATAATCAAATCCAAACACCTCCTAACACTCCTTGCATCAAATTCCGACTTTTATATGAGATTATCCCAAGTCAAAAAGGCCATAAGAATTTAAAGTTTCAACATATTGTGAAGAAATTTGTTAAATGCCACAAAAAATAAATGTAATTCGACTTATGTGATGTTAATTTCAATATAATATTTTGATGATTTAGCTTTAAGCAATAATGATAATATCTATAAACCTTTTAAATTATACTACGTCTAAGCTAATGTATGTAACAAAATACACGTAGAAGTTGACGGAAACTGGCATCATGTCATTTTAAGTACTTATAATTCAAATAATATATATTGATCGAAGTCTATAAAGAAGAGGCTATATGTGAATAGAACTGTCGACCAATTCATTTTTATATAAATGACTCACTTCTTTTACACATATAGCAAAATATGTGCAGTTTAAAAAAATTAATATAGCTTCATACAAAGAAGAATAAGAATAAGAAGAAAAGATGGAACAATTAAAATAGAATAAAATGCATTGAATAGTGACGAACAAGTAACTTTTTTACGAATGGATGGACCATAAAATACCTTCAGAATTTTTATGATAAAAATCTACACTCTTGAATGAAAACAATAAATTTCCAAACTAGGTAAAGGTAAAAGTTTATCATATAGTAATAATATTATTTATCTCATCATATAGTAATAATATTATTTATCTCATCATCTATCAAAGAATCTTTGATTTGGTATTGACTATTGACTCTCAATGGTACAAGAATTAACAAAATTTCATTTGTTATATAGTTGAAGAACAATCAAATTCCACATTATAAAAAGTAGAGGGTTTGTAATGCTTTCATTAAATATGTAGACACAAAATCCAAAAACTATGTAACAGATTTTATTGAATCAAATTAAAGTTGAGCTAGAGCATTCCAAATTGTGTGCAAAATTACATTCTTACTTGAGAACGTAGAATATATACGTAGTATATATATTAGGGGTGGGCATAACGGTTTGGTTTAACCGAACCGAACCGTACCAAACCGAACTAAACCGAACCGAAACCGAACCGTATGCAATTTGGTTTGAGTTCGGTACTATTTCTTTCAAACCGTATTAAACCGAACCGAAACCGATAAAACTCAAAACCGAACCGAACTAAAAAAACCGAACCGAACTAAAGAAACTCAAAAAAACTTTCATATATTATTAAAATTGGTGGTTTGATTTGGTTTGGTTGGGGTTTACTTAAGTAAACTGTTTGGTAAACATTTGCTCAAATCGAATGGTTTGGTACTTTGGTTTGGTTTGGTTTAAAATGGAAAAACCGTAAACTGAATCGAACACCGAACAACACACACACATATATATATACATACTAGTTTCCCCATGCGCGATGCGCGATTAGGTAAGTGCCCAATATTTTAACATTAGGAAAATAATTATATTGTTGAATACATGTTTAATATGATTCTTTTTAGCCTTTGCCAATTGGTTAGTAATGTGACAGTTTCCGTTATTTTAGTTAAACAGATGATGATAATCTGAGTAGGTATGACCTAACTACTTACAAACATATGTACTATGTAACTAATAGTGAAGCATCATCCATAGTCCATCTTTTTGTAACGATGCTTCTGCCAAATTAATTTTTCAAAGAAGCCATCTTATACTCTTATGGTTTAAGACTTAAAGTCATTTATATTTGATGATTCCCCATTTAAAAAAAATGTTAGTCGATATGAAACTATCTAAGCGTTGTATAGTATTTAACTCAGTTGTATATTGGAGGGATTGGTCTTAGACTAAAGACCAACCCCTCAAAAGACCTACAAAAGACCTAACTATTAAGTCTACTTTATAAAAAACAGCCCTTTAGTTTCTAAAAGAGGCCTGTATGGGTATATTTTTCTTTCATCATAGAATTTTCCCCCTTAACTTATGAAGTTAATAATTTTGATGGGGAGGCTTGGCGTACCGATTAAGGCGTTTTGTGTGATAGAGAGGTCACGGGTTAAAATCTTGAAAGCGGCCTCTTGTCAAGATTTGAGAGGGTCGGGAATGCTTATACCTTATACACCCTATGATAGGATCCTTCCCAAGACCCTCGCCTTGCGGGGATGCCTTTGTCTCCGAAGCAGCCCTTTATGAAGTTAATAATCTTTTTCACTATTTCAACGCTCATAAATGAGCCATGGAAAAAAATCTTCTTTATGAAAGATCCAAACGTTTTTAAAAAGGGGCTAAAAGAGTTCCATACTATACTGCAACTTTGCTTCAGATTTTGTAAAATGTGTATAGACTATTAAGCGTTTCTTTCACCAAGGGAAAAATGAACTATTGAATTTTTTTAACCCAACAAGTGATATCACTAAACAGAATGGAAAATAATGAAGCCAAGTGGTTTTTAAGAGTCTTTAGTTTAAAGTATTAAATGTTTCTTGCATTGTTCTTCAAAGTTTGTCTCCCAATTAGGGGCTGGATACAATAATGTAAACCATGAACCATAAATGTAAAACCTGTCATTGAGATAATTTTACAAACACCTATTGTGCTTCATATATCTTTAAACACTTTTCTTCGAATGAACATTAAGTATGCTTGTATCCAATAAAGAAATACAAATGGTGGGCTTCATTTCCTTATCAAATCAGTTTTTGAATATCTTAAAGGGAAAATGGAAACTAATAATCCAACCTTTTAGCGGTCTTCTTTTAATAATCCCACCTTTTGATTATTCATGAATAATCCAACCTTTGCACCCCATCTTCATTCATTGGTCCCTGGTCGGTTAATGACCTACTATTCCAAGTTATTTTCTTATCTTTCCAAAATATTATCTTTGTGAAAGATGAGATTTATAGTATAATGATTTGCAAAGATAAGAAAATAGCTTGGAATAGCAGGTCATCAACCGGTCAGGGACCAGTGAATGAAGATGAGGTGCAAAGGTTGGATTATTCATGAATAATCAAAAGGTGGGATTATTGAAAGAAGACCGCTAAAATGTTGGATTATTAGATTCTATTTTCCCTATCTTAAATTTACTGTTGAGTTTATTCCAACACGATATAGTAAATATATGTATGAACACTCAGTTTTTACGTGGAAACCCGAAAGGGAGAAAACCACGGGACTTTTTAGGCTAATGTCCAAGCCCTCTCATTCTCATTAATCTCTCCTCCCATTACATAGTACAATTTGAGCTCTATTTATGGAGTATTGAGCTAGCTAGAGAGAAATAAGGAAGAAGAAGCTAAAGCAGGGATCCTTTTACATGGAGGGAAACCTCCTATTTATAGGGAATAGGGGGAAAGGAGGCTCTCCACCCTAACGGGCCGAATGGGCCAAAATGGGCCCAAAGGCCGAAACAGGCCTGATAGGCTAAAATGGGCCTTACTGATTGGGCTCCGTACTACGTAAAGTCTTGGGCTCCTGAACAGTAATAGGCCGGGATAATATATCCCAACACAAGTCCCCCAGTTTCTTGAGTAGTGAGCGTGCGAATCTGCTCGAGAAAATATACTCTTGCTTGCGCTTTACCTCGGTCTAGCTGGAACCTGTGTCCTTGAATAATCATAATATATGAGTGGATGTTCACACTCCTGAACGTAATCTGCCGGTGAGGCACCCCCGTTCCCGACGGGGTCGGGCGAAAGGTGCTCCTCCACGGGCACGCTCCCCCTGAATGCATCAGGCGAGAGTAAAGGACTCTGACTCAAGCTTTCCAACGGAGAAGCTTAGAGGTCCATGCATCTATAAACCGACGTCGCGGTACTGTCAAAACATGATGCACGTGTGTATGTATGAATGTATGAGGTATGATGCATGAATGCATGTAATGTATGGGTGCAATGTATGAGAGAAGGAATGTGAGATGTGATAGAAAGTGGTGGCTCTCATCGATAAACCGGGCATGTCAGCGCCGAGAGGCAGACGTGCTGCATAAGAGACGTTCGTCGCCATCCTGAAAGGGATGGGCGACCCTAACGTGAGCCAGACACGATGGCGCTGGGGCGCTGATCGTGCTGCATAAGAGACGTTCGTCGCCATCCTGAAAGGGATGGGCGACCCTAACGTGAGCCAGACACGATGGCGCTGAAGCGCTGATCGTGCTGCATAAGAGACGTTCGTCGCCATCCTGAAAGGGATGGGCGACCCTAACGTGAGCCAGACACAATGGCGCTGGGGCGCTGATCGTGCTGCATAAGAGACGTTCGTCGCCACCCTGGAAGGGATGGGCGACCCTAACGTGAGCCAGACACGATGGCGCTGGGGCGCTGATCGTGCTGCATAAGAGACGTTCGTCGCCATCCTGAAAGGAATGGGGCGATCCGAACGTGAAAGAGACACGATGGCGCTGAGAAGCCGATCGTGCTGCATAAGATGGTCATCGCCATCCTGGAGGGAATGGGGCGATCTGAACGTGAAAGAGACACGATGGCGCTGAGAAGCCGATCGTGCTGCATAAGACGGTCATCGCCATCCTGGAGGGAATGGGCGAGCCGAACCGTGAAGCCAGGTACGATGGCGCTGAGGGGCCGATCGCACTGCATAAGACGTTCGTCGCCATCCTGGAGGGGATGGACGAGCTGAACGTGAGCTGGGTACGATGACGCTGAGGGGCCGATCGCACTGCATAAGACGTTCGTCGCCATCCTGGAGGGGATGGATGAGCTGAACATGAGCTGGGTACGATGGCGCTGAGGGGCCGATCGCACTGCATAAGACGTTTGTCGCCATCCTGGAGGGGATGGACGAGCTGAACGTGAGCTGGGTACGATGGCGCTGAGGGGCCGATCGCACTGCATAAGACGTTCGTCGCCATCCTGGAGGGGATGGATGAGCTGAACGTGAGCTGGGTACGATGGCGCTGAGGGGCCGATCGTACTGCATAAGACGTTCGTCGCCATCCTGGAGGGGATGGACGAGCTGAACGTGAGCTGGGTACGATGGCGCTGAGGGGCCGATCGTACTGCATAAGACGGTCGTCGCCATCCTGGAGGGAATGGGCGAGCCGAACCGTGAGTCTGGACACGATGGCGCTGAGGGGCCGATCGTGATGCATAAAACGTTCGTCGCCACCCTGGAAGGGATGGACGAGCTGAACGTGAGCCGGGTACGATGGCGCCGAGGGGCCGATCGTACTGCATAAGACGGTCGTCGCCATCCTGGAGGGAATGGGCGAGCCGAACCGTGAGTCTGGACACGATGGCGCTGAGGGGCCGATCGTGATGCATAAAACGTTCGTCGCCACCCTGGAAGGGATGGACGAGCTGAACGTGAGCTGGGTACGATGGCGCTGAGGGGCCGATCGTACTGCATAAGACGGTCATCGCCATCCTGGAGGGAATGGGCGAGCCGAACCGTGAATCTGGACACGATGGCGCTGAGGGGCCGATCGTGATGCATAAAAATAGTGATAAATCGTGAGTGATAATCGTCTCGCGGCCCTCGGCCGTGCTGGTGATGTGTCAAGTCTCTATCCTGATTGGCTGTGAGAAGCCGATCGTCTGCCAGGACTCCATCCAGGAAGGAATGGTGAGCCTGAAATAAATCTGGGCGATGTCCCTCCGTCTGATCTGGGGAGCTGGTATTCGTCGTCCAAGGCAAAAGAAAGCCTGATGTTAGACAATCGTCGTCGGCCACTTCATTCTTCGTACTTAAGTTTTGTAATTATTCCTTACATATGTTTTTCAGTTTGTACTTCCCGGCCAATAGCGCCGAGGGATAAAATCATTCTTTGCTCCGTGCTCTTCTGGCATCTTTTTTTTTTTTTTTGGAGTCTTTTAGTCTTCGTTCGTCCTTGGTTCTTGGTCCTACCAGCGTCCTTACTTCGAAGAGACGTCCGGTATCCTCGAAACTCGCAAGGAGGAATAGGTTTATCTACATCGAGATTCCCCCTTTTTTTTGTTCGTCCGTGGTCCTTTTAGTCTTACCGGCGTCTCTTGCTTCGAAGAAGACGTTCGGTACCCAAGGAACTCGCAGGGACGAACTGGTTTACCCTCACGGGTTCCCGACTTTGTTATCCCACGTCCATCGATCCATGGTCATTGTGGGATAAACAGGTTTATCTTGGCAAAGCTCCCTTAGTTCGTCTAGCCCCCTCCGCGTCTCTACTAACCTCTACATCGAGAGGCGTTCGTCTTCGGCGGTGGGAGAAGATCTGGCACGCCCGGGCAAGATTCCCTTCCACATAGGAGCTACCCCCCTCTTCTCCCCATCTTTTTTTTTTGTTTTGTTTTTTTTTTGTTTGAGGGAGGCAATCTATATTCTTCGTTCGTCCGTGGTTCTTGGTCCTATCGGCGCTCTTGCTTCGAAGAGACGTTCGGTATCCGCGAAACTCGCAAGGAGGAACGGGTTTATCTACATCGAGATTCCCTAGCTCTTCTTAGTCCGTCCCTGGTCTGTGGTCCTACCGATCTTCCTACATCGAAGAAGACATTCGGTATCCAAGAAACAAGCATAGTGCAAAAAGCGTATATAGCGTGGTGCTGTTATGGCGAACAAATATAATGACGGGGCGATAGAATAGCTGGTCGTCATGTGAAGGCGATGGTCACCCTCCTGGAGGGGAGTCGTGAGCCCGATCGCAAACTCAAGAGGGTCGGCATTGGGAGCCGACAAACAATGATCATAATGTCGCTGAGCAGTCGGTCCTGATAATGGAGACGGCAATAGTGTCCAGGTCAGGCTGACATATCCGAGCAACGGCTCTCATCCACGCAGCGCGGGGGTGAAACCGGTCTTCAAAAGATAAATATGTCGTGCCGAGAGGCCGATCATAACATGATAGTGTCGGCAGTGAGAGGCCGACCTGAAAGAATCAAACAACGGTCCTCATCCGCGAGGTGGCGGGGACGAGGCCGGTCTTCAAAAGATAAGCACGCCGAGCCGAGAGGCCGGTCGTGGTATAATAATGTCGGCAATGAGCGGCCGATCTGAGAAAATCAAGCAACAGTCCTCGTCCGCGAGGGCGGGGACGAGGCCGGTCTTCAAATATGATAATCACGCCGAGCCGGGAGGCCGATCGTGATATAATGATGTCGGCAATGAGATGCCGATCAAGATATGGTCAAGCAACGGTCCTCGTCCGCGAGGTGGCGGGGACGAGGCCGGTCTTCGAATATGATAATCACGCCGGTCCGAGATGCCGGTCGTGATGTAATGATGTCGGCGATGAGAGGCCGACCTGAAAGAAATCCAGCAACGGTCTTCGTCCGCGCAGCGCGGGGACGAGGCCGGTCTTCAGATATGGAAAGCACGCCGAGCCGGGAGGCCGATCGTGATATAATGGTGTCGGCAATGAGCGGCCGATCTGAGAAAATCAAGCAACGGCCCTCGTCCGCGAGGGCGGGGACGAGGCTGGTCTTCAAATATGATAATCACACCGTGCCGAGGGGCCGGTCGTGATATGATGATGTCAGACGGCCCTCGGCCGTGACGATCTCTTCTAGGCCCTCGGCCTCTGAATGACGGGTGATCGTCTCACGGTTCTCTGTCATGGCATTCGCCTCTAGACCCTCGGCCTCTAGGTGTTCTTCCTAGGCCATCGGTCTCTGGGGTGGAGATGCTCGTCCCACGGTTCTCAACCGTGGTGGTCTCCTCTAGGCCCTCGACCTCTGGGTGGAGATGCTCGTCCATCGGCTCTCAGCCGTGATGGTCTCCACTTTAGCTGGCCCTGAACGTCTTCAAGATTCGGGCCGAGCGTCTTTTAATCATTTCGCTCGAGCGCGTCGAGTGGCTTCAGCTGCGCAATAAGCATGATAACGGGCCGCACTGCCCGACAATATGTATACACACATAACCATCTGTATGGCTTTCTTTCTAACACCCACGATTACCGGCCTATGGGTTACCGTGACCCTCGGCCCGGCTCATCGTGCGGGGTTAATGGACGTAGTAGCTCGCGGCGGGGCCAATTAGCAGCCCGCCGAACGTCACATAGAGATATTCATCGGTCCGTGAGTTTTCAAACTCAGACCCAAGTTGGTCGCACTGCCCTCGGAAAAACGAGGTTGAGTGCTTTGCTGCCCTCGGGCCCCATAGGCCACGTTTGGCAATAGTCACTTCGCGCCTAGCGGCGCGGATGGTTCTGGGGTACGGTCGTCGATCGGGCACGTAGTGCCGTGCGGACTAACGTGCAACCCTCAAATTAAAATGCGTCGTCGGGGCATCGCCCTACTGGAGACGCTCGGATCGCTTAATCAAGCTGATCGAGAGTGGGCTAACGGGCCCACAAGAAATTAAATATTCAATAAAATGTTGGCTGAACCAACCATCACTAGAGCTTCGCTCCACATTATTTAATTCGGGACATTTTATCCCTATTCCCTAATAAATAATAGTGATGTGACAGGTAATAGCACGGAGGCTAACCACTCAGATATGCTTCGTTCGCTAATTAAAGCCGATCGGGGTGGGCCTACGAGCCCACAACAATAAGTCATTAAATTAAATGACGGTGAAGCTAATTATCACTAGAGCTTTACTCATTCGAGTTTTGCCCGACATTATTTAATTCCGGGATATCTTAATCCCCTATTAAATAATGGTGATGTAACAAATTAAGTAATAATAATATTTTTTACTATTATCTCACTTAGATATACCAATGTAAAAGTATAAGTACTTAGCTTTTGAATATGGAGACGTTCGGCCGGTTGGGGAACTTGGGAGTTTGCTTTGATTCCTCTCTGCAATTTTGACTTGGTCAAAATTCCAAACATCCTTGCCCATCACCGGTCTTCAATTACTCAGCGGCTCTTAAGTGTACGTACGTCCAAGCTAAGCCAAGAGGGCTTCGGCTTATTGAACTTCCCCAATCTTGACTTGGTCAAAACTCTTCAAGGAAATCAGGCCTTTTACTTGGCCCAAATATCGCGGACGTGGTCCGCCGTCCGCCTAGGACCATGGCAGCTGAAATACGAAGTATACCTTTTTAGAAAAAGCAGTGGACGCCTTCTGAAATCACTGGGCCCAAGACGAACGTCTTAAGGATGCCATCATCCGAAGGCGAGCGTGGTGACCTGCAACTCGCAGCATCAGGAGACGAGCAGTGACCAGCCATAGGCCGGGCGGCGCGGTGTAATCCGTCCAGCGTTTTCATGTGGCACCTGCTCGGCCGATTGGGAGGTTCGGCCTCATTGTCCAGAGCTTTCCTCTCACAGAGAATATCTTCCATCCGGGGAGAGGGCTTGGTAGAGAAACTGGCATCCTCCCTCTTGCAGAAAGACGTCGAGCGGCAGAGTAAGACGGCGGTTAGCGGTCCTTTGCGGGCATCCCAATTGAATCGGGTCCAGGGAGAGAGTGGCAACAACGAGAGCTGGGCGTATGGTAGTTCCCCTGGGGCGGAGCTGAACCAAGGATGTGTGTCGCTGTCATTTGAGTGGTCGTGGGGTGCTTGAGGCTGCTCGGCTAGCTACTGGGGTGATGGTGTTCACCTGATCTAATCCGGAGCGGGCCAAGCAAGGCACCAGATTCCTGTGCGGCAGAGCAGCCCCGGGTTCCGGGCGTCTCGCTGTTTTAGGTGCCGGCCCGCCGGGCGGCTTAGGATGCTGATGCGTGCCGGGCGATCAGATTTGCTTGTGTTCTCGACGTCACGAACATAGCCATCATTCCTCATGCCGGAAGCTAAACATTGACCAGGGTAGCATTTCTGCAGTCTGCACTTGGTGGGTAGGCGGCCATATAGTTCCAAATTGTGTGGTTGCCGCACATAGGCAGATCGTCCGACTTGGGAAAAACCCATGCAACCCTTGGGTCCGGATCTGCATGGGAGAAAACGGCAACGGCGAGCCGCTGCCCAGGTTGATGCTCCATATCCTGCCTCAACCAGGAGCATTTAACAGGTGTAATGGTACGCGCTTGGTTGAAGAAAAACGGGTGCAGGTCGGCCCCTTGGAAGCCCGCTCGTCCTCCAACAATTGATGAAGGTTTTTAGCCTTTGAAGATGCTTGCGTGGAGCCCACCTGTCCCTTTTCTGCCAGCTTTACATTCCTAGCTGACCATTTTAATTCCTTGATGTGAAGACCCCTGCTGAGGAACTGAGCTTGCAAGGTAGCAGTCATCTCAACGGCAACAACACTTGCTGGCCTGGGTAGCTCTTCCGTCCCCTTTTAATTTCTGGTGCAGCAAGCTTCGTCCGGTGAAGATGAACTCACCGAAGGTTCCACAGGACGGTGAAGGCGGCTCCGGCGACCCCAATCCAGATCTGGTGAAGTCCAGATTTGACTTCCCAGACTTCATAGCTTCTCCTATTTCCCGAAATCATTTTTTTTATTAAATTTTTCTTCTTTTTTGCTAGAATCAGTCCACTTGGTATCAATCTTTGCACAAAAAACTGAAGAACACATGAATCTTTTTGGACAGATTCCCACAGACGGCGCCAGTGTTGAGTTTATTCCAACACGATATAGTAAATATATGTATGAACACTCAGTTTTTACGTGGAAACCCGAAAGGGAGAAAACCACGAGACTTTTTAGGCTAATGTCCAAGCCCTCTCATTCTCATTAATCTCTCCTCCCATTACATAGTACAATTTGAGCTCCATTTATGGAGTATTGAGCTAGCTAGAGAGAAATAAGGAAGAAGAAGCTAAAGCAGGGATCCTTTTACATGGAGGGAAACCTCCTATTTATAGGGAATAGGGGGAAAGGAGGCTCTCCACCCTAACGGGCCGAATGGGCCAAAATGGGCCCAAAGGCCGAAACAGGCCTGATAGGCTAAAATGGGTCTTACTGATTGGGCTCCGTACTACGTAAAGTCTTGGGCTCCTGAACAGTAATAGGCCGGGATAATATATCCCAACATTTACATATCTATAGCACTTGGTATTAAGCAAGCTAACTAATTTGATGTCTATTATGATTTACCCGTTTGTGATCCATGGAATTGAGAACTCTTATGATTTTTTTTGGAAACCTTATATAATGGCTCACACCCAACCTCCTGACCTTTCTATATTGATTTATCAACTATAACATAACACCTGCAAAAGAAGACTCATGAATCCATACAATTGAAATAAAAGCATAACTAAAACAAATGAAAAACCGCTGCCTATGTTTATGAAGTGAGTAGAACACATGCAAAGACTTAGCGATTACAAGAATATGTGCAACTAATACGAAGCAGTGGACGGACACTGAGAAGTACGAAAAACTGAAGAAGTTGAGGAGTTCCAACTTCCTTTAACGTAGAAGGAAGACTAACTAAAGTTCAAGGTGAATAACATAAAGTACAATTAGATAATGCTTTAATGTTATACCAACACATTTTATATTCCTAAATTGCACTTACCTTCATTCACATTTAATTTGTTATCACATTTAAGTTTTTTAAAGATGTACAAGACTTTGCAAACCATTATTAACACCCTCTTGTTATGTATTCATGTAGATATCAAAGCCTGCTAAATGTAGCAGAACCTAGCTGATAAACAAACATGAGATTGAGCTTACAAGATATAAAAGTAGCTCATTTTTGTGATTCTCTACACCAATGCAAACCCAACTCTTATTCTTATCGATTGGCACAAGTCCAGAGATATTCTTCACGGAGACTACCACAACTTCTCTGGATATTAGGCAAATACTTCAGCACAAAATAGAATCATTCCAAAAAAATAATAAAACACGCCCTCATAGAAAGTCAGAAGCATTGTCGTTATATTGTCCAACTATGGAGTATTAATTTAGATTCAAACGTAAATTAACAGTCACAAAATGTCAAGTGAAACTGCCGATAGGATAGTGAAAGTCTTAATAAAGCATTGAAAATAAGCAGTTTTTTCCCTGAAACCTTGAACAGAAAGGAATAGAAAGAAAGAAAAACATAGTGGTAAGATGCAGATGAATGTGGCTTAATTTCATTTTCAAGTTAATCAGTTAATCACTCCACGTTTAAGTCACCTTCTTCAAAATAAAAATCTAAAGCAATGGGTTGAGTTCTGTGCAGCACACTGTTATAGCCTAGGGCAGGACATGTGTCGAGAAAATGAAGATTTGGTGATGCCCATGCATATGGTTCAATAGAGTGAGTGTTTCCTAACATAGTTCTGAAATCCCTATTCGAATGCTTTTCACTTCATCATATCTGATCGGGATCCATAATCTGTACTTATCAAAACATGAGACCAAAATGCTTTACAACCATATTACTCTACAGTCTACACTGAGTTTGTCCGTTCAGATAGGGAAAAGCATAGCAGAGAGATCGAGGTTGCTTACCGCACAAATGGAAACGACGGGGGAGCTCGCCGAGGTTAGGGCGCGGGTTGCACGATGTGCGTGATAGGAAGGCAGGTGCAAGTCGTCTGAAACTGGGAGCCTAGAAGGTCATTTGACGTTGAGTTAAGACACGGAGATGTTAGACGGAAATAAAAACGGAGAAGCAGTTACGTAAGAAGAGTACATACGTTAAAACGTAGTGCACAACCTCATAAAACATTTTTTTCATCCCTAAAATGCCCTAACTCTCATTTTAAGATCATAAGTTTTTAAGACACACACACACAAACACACACATATGTGTGCAGTATGGAGATTGTAAGTTTGGTTGTACCAGTGAAATACGACAATGTGTTTGTCCATTATATGTAGAGTCAATTCCCTAAATAGGACCAAAAAGTGGCAAAATTGCACAAATAGGACTACATTTTTTAAATTCCCTTAATAGCACTATTTATGTGTGTTTGGCCAAATATACCCTTGTAACTTGTGAAATGTTTTAATTAATAATAAAATCATACAAAAATAATAAAAAATCGAAAAAAATACTAAAAATCGTAAAAAGATAATAGAAAATTAATAAAAATATTTTTTAAAAAAATTAAAAAAAAATATTTTTTTAAAAAAAATAAAAAAAATAAAAAACAATCGTAAAATTAAAAAAAAAAACATTACCACCCCTGCCACCCCCAGCACCACCAGCTCCCATCACCGGAGAAAAATATGCCAACATTTTAAATAATGCCATAATGATGGCATATTCAATGAAAATGTTGGCATACTGAAGAGTAATTATGCCATCTTTTTGGCATTTTCAGAAAAAGATGACATTTTTTACCAAAAGTGGAAGAAATTTCACCAATCGAAGGTAGTGGTGCTGGGAGGCGGCGGATGGCGGTGGGAAATGTATCCATAATTTTTTTTTTCATTTTTTATGGGGTTTTACTATTTTTTTATTATTTTAAAAAAAAATTAAAAAAATAAAAATTAAATTTTTTATTTTATAAATGTTTTATAAATTTTTTATAATGTTTTTACGTTTTTTAAATATTTTTTACGTTTTTTTATGATTTTATTATGAATTAAAGCATTTCATTATGAATTAATACTCTTAGGGGTATTTAGGGTAGAAAATCTATGTTTAGTCCTATTTAGGGAATTTAAAAAGTAATAGTCCTATTTGTGCTTTTTAGGAACTCATTAGTCCTATTTAGGACAATTTCCATTATATGTATACATTAAGGAGGTTATAGTTTTAGTGACTTGGTGATTTGGAGTGAAACATAACTGTCCAAACTCCTAAGCCCCCACCCACTTTTATTAACCATTTAAATGATTGCTATTTTGCTCATTGCACCACATGTAAATCACTACTTATATTTTATTTATGTTGGCACCCAAAAACTCTATTTTGATTTTATTGCTTTGTTTTAGTTTATTTGGTTTGGATTTAACCTAATATAAATCATTTCAAATTAGTAAATGTTGACTTAAAAATATGAAATTATACATTATTTTTTTAACTTTATAAACCGAACATCAAACCGAACCGAAAATTTCTCGAACCGAACCGAACCGAAAATTTCTCGAACCGAACCGAAACCAAACCGAAATACATTTTTCGCCAAACCGAACAACTTGAAACCGAACCGAACCCGATAAAAACCGAACTGTAAACCGATTTGCCCATCCCTAGTATGTATATAATGAAATTCTCACAATTCTAAGGCTAAAATATTTGCCGTGAAGTATTTGTGTGGTGTACATCTTCTTTTGACATTTTAACCCAAATTTTACAAACTTTCACGGTTAATTATTCATAACGTAACGTACTTACAAACTTTATCACACAAAACTCATTTCAAATACTTCATTGTAATATCTACTAAGGAGTATTATTCAAATACTCCATTAATTTATTATAGATTATATAAATATATATATTTTTAAATATTTACGCACAAACTTTCATTCACAAGTTTTAAGATATCCCCATGTCCCATCCTCGCATGAACTACTAAGGATCCAATAAACTGTAGGAAAAAGAGTAGGACTCCGTGATTATTTGTTCACTGGAAAAGCAAATTTTGGATAGATAGAGACCCGTTAAAACTTGAGAGCATCAATGCCATCCTTAATAAGTACATGGAGGATTTACTGATTTAGTTTCATAACTTTGGATGTGATCACTAATTATCCTTTATTATTTCTTTAATTTTACTCACTTATAGATTTAGTCCCATAAATTAATTTTCTTTTATCTTGCTCACGTTCTTTAATCTTTTTAACATTTGTCTTTATTATGTTCTTATGTTATTTTTATCTTATACGTAATATTTATTTTTATCTTACTTTTTCTTTTCTTTTTTGGCTCTGAATATCATTGACCGACTTATACTAGTTGTCCCCAAAATCTTTTGGGAATAAGGCTTGGATATTATTATTGTTGTATACATTTAGTGTCATAATAAATAAATTTATCATCTTTATTTGAAAATACACGTTCCAAGTTGGGAGAAGTCTGTCCCTCTAATAGCCTTGGATAAGTGCACTGAAGAGGCTGAATGGCTATGCCATTTTCTCGAGGATATTCCAAGTTGGGAGAAGCCTGTCCCTCCAATATGCATACATTGCGATTGTCAAGCGGCAATTGGAAGGGCACAGAGCAATCTCTACAATGGTAAGTCTAGACACGTTCGTCGTAGACATAACACCATTAAACAACTTCTCACAACGGGTGTTATCACTGTTGACTACGTGAAGTCAAAGGATAACATAGCGGATCCGCTAACCAAGGCATTGGATAGAGAATTGTTGGAGAAGTTGATGCGAGGAATGAGATTGCAGCCCGTGAATTGAAAAGTTCTATAGTGGATACCCAACCTAGTTGGTCCTAGGTTCAAATGGGACAACTAAATTATAGAGCGAAGGATGGTCACTGTGGGGGTCCCGGACTCCTACCCACTCCTCGTTGAAACAGTGACTCCCGCACGAGGTTAGCAAAAACGTTTGCTTTAATGATTATAAAATGTTGATCTACTTGATAACATTGGAAGAGTATGCGGGATACTCGTGAAAGAATCACCTATGTGAGAGAGAAGAGGGCCGCTTCAAAGGAGAACTGTAATGGCTCAGTTTTTTAGAAACTCTTGCAGAACCAGGACGGTGACCCATGGCCAAAATGGGCACACCCATGAGAACGGAACAAAGTTGGAAGGTTCTTGTGTAAAGATAAGTCAATGTTTACACGACGGCAGTATAGTTCAAAGACATCGAGTCTACTAGATAGCCAGTAAATAAACGAGTCTTTACGGCGGAAGGTTCAAAGGATTAAACCTACCTCTCCGTATGCAAGGATCATCCGGTGAACACAACGTGTCCTCCTATCTTCGTGTCATTTTGTAAGTCTCGAAAATCAATTTTCATTCATGTGGGGGATTGTTGGAAAAATGTGTGAAAAATTGCATTAACTGGCTATTTTGGGGCAATTTTGAGTGGGGTCCACTTCCGATTTGGGTCGGGTCAAAGTGGTTTCGGATTGTTCTTGTATAGGGCTACAATTCGATATATGGTACGCTCAAAACGGATAACGGGTGATTGAGAAATTGTTTTTCGAAGTTTACCCGTTAGAAGGGAAAAAAGATGGGTTT